TTCACCATTTCATTAACAAATTACTGTACTGTAGAGTTACTGTAAGATTTTTACCATTAAAATGATGATAGTTATTTACAGCGTAAAGGCCCGGTCACACCAAGAATCAAAACCATGACTATAGCTACAATAACCACTATATGAATTGTTTATTATTGTCGACTGCCACTTTAAATGCTCCAGCTCCAGCTCAGGTGGATTCTGATTGGCTGTCAGTGTTTTTAAGGTTTTAAGAATCAGCTGGGAAAAAAATTGATTCCAATGATATCGTTCCTCTGTGCTGCTATCACTATAGATGTGTTGTGAATCTGCTATTTCTTTAAAGGGGTCATCCGATGCCCATTTTCCACAAGTTGATATGATTCTTTAGGGTCTTAATGAAAAGTCTGTAACATAGTTTGGTTAAAATTTCTCAATGGTAGTGTAAAAACACCTTTTGTACCCTGTCAAAAACAGCTCTTTTCAGAGCATGCAGATTTGTAGCATTTTCCTTTAAATGTTAATGAGCTCTGCTGACCCCGCCCCTCTCTTCCGAGCTGCTCTCAGAGAGACTGGTTACTTTAGCTGCATTCATCGTGAATCTTGTTAATTAGCACACTATTAGGAAAGGCGATTTGCAAAGATTAGTTAAAAAACCTTATACTCAATTCTTCTGTAGATGAGGCTGGATCATGAATGATTCGAGCGAACATAGACGCATTTATGTAGATCGAGAAACAAATATAATCCACTGCGTCTTCATGTCGGGAGTAAATGACTGCTGCTATGTTCATTATTACATCCAACAACAGAAGACCTCAATCACTTAGGAGTCATTCTTGTCTACATCTGCTCCAGCAGTGAAACAATGGCGGACTGATGACAGCTCACTCAGGGCGGGTCTAAGGCAGGGGTAGGCAAGTTCGGTCCTAGAGAGCCGCAGTCCTGCAGAGTTCAGCTCCAACCCTGAAAAAAAAAACTCACCTGCCTATAGCCTTAGTAATCCTGAATACATTGATTAGCTTGTTCAGGTGTGTTTGATTAGGGTTGCAACTCTGCAGGACTGCGGCTCTCTAGGACCGAACTTGCCTACCCCTGGTATAAGGTAAGACACCAGTCCAGTCTGTGCTGAAACGCTACTGTCAATCAAACTATTGTGGGAGGGGCCAAACAACTTGTAAAAGTGCATGTAGCATCGGATGACACCTTTAAATTAAGAACGATTTTTAAATCCATATCTTTATTGTTGTAGTTATCATTCTTGGTGTGATGGACCTTAAGGTCAACCTCTTTGTTTTAGCTTCAAGGATCTGTGCTGCATTTCCCAAAAGCATCATAACCCTAAGTAGATCGCAGAACCATTGCCACAAACCTGGCTTACGAAGCATTTGAGAAAAACAGCCCTGGTCTTACCTTAGTGGCTTCTTGTAGGTGACTCCTGAGGATTTCCCGTATGGTGGGCGTCTGCTCTGCAGGAGGGTTGGTGTAGACGTGAATCTGTCCCATGTCCATCCAGATTGTCTTTTCCGGCCATCCCAGTTCCAGGCATGGCGCCGGAGTGTCGGACTCTGTGGGAAAATAATGTCCAGAGAAGTCCTCCCCATCAGAACCGACCTCCACCTCACCATTTCCATCCTCCTGGTTTGCATCGCTTTGATGATAGTCCTCGGCCCAGCCGGAGATCTGGTTCACCTCGCCAGGGGACAGGAACGATCCGATTTGTTCTTGGTGGAGTTTGGTGTAGAAAGCCTCATGACCGGAGCTCACTAGGCTTTCCACACAATAGCGCTCCTCCTCGCAGTGCAAGAAGTCCGGATTGGACTCTGTCAGTGGAGCGAAGACGATGTTCTCGTTGAGGCTCTGCTCTTGAGAGTTTGACATGATTGGAGCCTGACGACGGTTGGAGATATCCTTCTACTTCAAGGAAAATGACTGTGGAAAATTACATGTTGATATGTAAACAACAAATGGCAGCTGTTCTAATATACTTGGAGGAGGAGGTTGGTGAATTATTCAGATAGTTGAGGTTGTGTTGAAGATATTTAAACTCTTTTTAAACACCAAGAGTCAATAGAAAAGCTGGATACTTCATGGTGGAGTTGTTGCCATCGTCCTGGGAAGATTTGGAGAGCTTTGAAATGACCTGTAATACAGACTTGAGGGAAAACAACAACATTTGTTTTTAGTTTAGTTTTTTTTGGTTTGGTGAACACTTTAAAATTTGGCTAATAGCTTTTGATGTCAATAAACTACAGTTTTTTTTTTTCAATTGAATTGCTATTAACATGCGATTAAGTGTCCGAGAACATTACATCCATTTCTCACTTAAGTATATGCTTTAAAATGAATAAAGACTTTTTTTAAGTAAACTAAAGTTATTTTTCACAAGGGCCATTGTGAAATAAAATGACAAGTATATTTTAGTTTACCACCATAAATGCTTGTCAGTACTATTGTCAGTAAACTTGAACAATATTTCAAGAGACAGCAGAAGTAATTATGTAATTACATATAAAGATGTATTAAGTCCTAAGCAGGTCAAAAGCATGCTAAAGTTCAGCCAGTTGCATTTAATATAAATTTGAACTATTATACAGCTACCTTCAGTTATGCAAATTAAGTGTCCAAAAACTTTACACTAAGTTCGCACTTAAGTAATAAATACTCTTTTTAAAAGTACTACTTTGTAAATGTACTACTCTTTGCAAATTCGATGCCAAAATCAATTTTTTTAAATCTATTTTATAGTAACACTTTACAAGAACAGATTATGTACTAAAAGTCGAGACTTACCCGTCTGTGCCCGTCTGTCTCACTCACACACCCTCAGTCCATTGACTCTTTCCGTCAAGTTCTGACATATCACTGCTATCTCCTCCCATTCTAAATGGCCTCTCTCTGTCTGGTGTTAAATTACTCCCCGTCACCAGCCAATGTGAGCAACTAGTCATTACTGCGATCTGCCCATTTTTAGCTTTCGCACAAATCCACGTCTTGAGTCAGCATATCATCAGCAAACCATCCCCAAAACATGTTCTGGTCTCCCTCGGCCCAAGTCCAATATTAGATTTCTGTCCTTGTTGTGTCTTTAGTAAACACGTCCCTGTCGCTGGCTCACTATCGTGACTGGTTCTACCAGCCGAGCCAGTCTTCTCCGGGGAGCAGAGATTGAGACCTTCCTTCCCTCCCAGCTACAGTCAAAAGGGGGCGAGGCTGGAACTCAACACCTGCCTAGTGGTCTCTTTTCACATCATACACCTCTGGTTGGGTGGACATGAGGTTACAAGAAATATACTAGATGTTTAGACACGTGCAGGGAAGAAGGAGTGTTTTAATCCACTGAAGAAAATATGCTGAGCTCACCTTTGGGTTTTGCATGAACAAGTTACTGGAATTCCATGCAATTAATGCACACATTCCTCTTTAATCACCACTTCTATGTGTAGTGTCATGCCACCGATGTTTATTTTGTGCCTAGACAGAATAAACAGTGCTTTTCAAAGCAGAGAATGTGTAGTATGATGGTATGTTGTCAACTAAACACAATGATACAGATTTGTTAGAGCAGTTGAATTGAATATTTAAGTATTGCAATTAGCAGTGCAGATTGTTACAAAGTAACAACTATTTTTACTGATTCAAACTCATTACTGTGTAAACCACTTAAAGAGCACCATGACTCACTCGATACCAAACATTTTCTAGTGGACACTTGTTGATCCTACTTGAACTGCAGCATTTTTGTGATACGATTGTTCTTTTCGGTTTATTCATTGTTGCACTGAAAGTTTACTCTAACCCAAAACGTCATAACTACTGTTGTCATTGTTCAAAAAAAAAATTATTTATAAAGTTTGCATACATAAAAACATAATAATACAAATGCACATGGGCACATATTTAGGATTGGAAAAAAATCCCAGTTTAGGGAATTCTGACAACTTGATTTGAAATAAACATTTCTGTGTTTTTTACACTCCAGTTTTCTTAAAGCGTTATTTAAAGTAACAGTTCACCCAACAATGAAAATTAGCTGAGCATTTGTTTCTTCATCAGAACAGATTTGGAGAAATGTAGCATTACAGTACATCACTTCCTCACCAATGGATCCTCTGCAGTGAATGGGTGCCGTCAGAATGAGAGTCCAAACAGCTGATAAAAACATCACAATAATCCACACCACTCCAGTCCATCAATTAACATCTTGTGAAGTGAAAAGATGCACATTTTCCATAAACAAATGAGCCCTTTTCATTTTAAACTGTCGCTTCTGGACAAAATAGCAGTTCATAATTCATAATAACGCTTCCTCCAGTGAAAAAGTCCATCTCCTGTTGTTCTCTCACATCAAAATCTACCGATATATATTTGTTTAGAACCATTTTGGACTATTTTGGCTTGTAAACGGTGCTTGATCTGTGCATATTTCTCTCCTGATTCAGACGAGATGACTTTTTCACTGGAGAAAGAAATATTATGGATAGAGGAGTCATATTTTAGTTAGACCTTTTAGCACCTGAATGATGGATTTATTCAAAACACACGCTTTTCTTCATGTGGATTATTGTGATGTTTTTATCAGCTGTTTGGACTCTCATTCTGACGGCACCCATTCACTGCAGAGGATCCATTGCTGAGCAAGTGATATTATGCTACATTTCTCCAAATCTGTTCGGATGTACGTCTTGGATATCCTGTGGGTGAGTAAATTTTTTTGAAAATTTCATTTTCTTTTAAAAAAGAATTTTGCATCAAAATCCCACTTGATTGTCAGCATCAAACTTAGAGCACCAGCCTCCCCACTATTGGAAAATACAGCAAGTTTTGTTGCAACAGATTTTGAGAGTAAAAACTGTTATAACAATCTGACGGCACCCATTCACTGCAGAGGATCCATTGCTGAGCAAGTGATATCATGCTACATTTCTCCAAATCTGTTCGGATGTACGTCTTGGATATCCTGTGGGTGAGTAAATTTTTTTGAAAATTTAATTTTCTTTTAAAAAAGAATTTTGCATCAAAATCCCACTTGATTGTCAGCATCAAACTTAGAGCACCAGCCTCCCCACTATTGGAAAATACAGCAAGTTTTGTTGCAACAGATTTTGAGAGTAAAAACTGTTATAACATTAAATAACAATAAGCAATATCATAAACTGGCTCGCCTAATCAGAGCCATGAGCAAATACTGTATAATCTCATAGCAGACTAAACAGCTAAAGTAGCCTACATGTGTGGTGTTAAGCAGAAAATCAGGCCCGTTTGCGCAGATGCACATAAAGTGCGCCACTGATAAGTAAAAGGGGCACACACACCCACGCTAGAATGTAACAGTAGCCGAAATGACCCTTTTCCAGTTCACGAGAATCTTGAAGAATCGCACTCCTTTGACAGGTGAAGATAAGAGCAGCCGCAAACACTGCAAAACCTGTAAGTATGAATGGAGTGAGAATAAAAGAGGGGCCACAATGGGACAGCACATATGGTACTGTATACGGAGTGAGATTATGATATGAACTTTCTGTCTACCTCCCTACCTAAATAAAAAATAAGTTAACACTTTATTTTAAGGTGTCCTTGTTACACGCTACATAGTAAGTACATGTAGCTAATATTACTCACTCAGTATTTAAATGTATCATTGCACTGTAACAAGGACACCATAAAATAACGTGCAAACCAAAAATAAAAACAAAATTTGATTTTATATACCTGCAAATAGTTGGCACAAGCCAGTGAAGTAGAAAATACCTCCTTTAGACATGGTGAAGAGCTGTCCGAGGAACACCATGAAGGAGATAGAAGAGAGCACCACAGACAAGATCATGAAGGCCTGGACTGACTGCAGCCATTCTGAGAGAGAAAACCACACACAAACAACAATAGTTACTTACCTTTAACAAATACATGTAGTTATTATAGTTTGATAACACTGCCCTGCGTCACATTTGCTGAAAGAAATCCAATACTTGGATACTCGTACTAAGTTTAGGTGCTGATTGATGTTTTGCTAGAGCACTAAAATATGATGCATTTCATATAATTTTTGCTTCTACAACCATTTGTAAGGTGAAGTATTGTTTTATTCTTTAATCAGCAGAAAACTGCCATTAAGACACATTTCCTGTCTTTGTCTGAGCCAGATTACAATTATTTGTTCAGTTCTAATAAACAGATTTTCACATGTATGAGTTAAGACTTTATTTTATGCCTAATATTTACACTTTATCCACTTCTTTGCAGATTGCAAGTGAAATGATACATAACCTTTTGACATTTGACTGCTTTTGTTAACCTTAAAGCTGATACATATAAATAACAAAAAAAAAATCGTATATGGATATTTTTGCACTCAGCATCATCAAAATAGGTAATATTAGGCCTTTTTGCAAATTGAAAATGTATCAAATCCACAGTTTTGTGAACATTCACCAGTTCTCCTGGACTCCGGTAATTAAATCCGGTTATTATATTCATTATTTGATTATAAAATCTGTTAATTTGATTATAAAATCTGTTAATGAGTGTTCGTTACCCACCGCTGTCTTTGGCAGAAGCACATAACCAGGTTTCTGTGGCGTTTTCATAGGTGCACTTATACCAGAGATCTGTGTTTTCTATGTCTCCCCAAGACCACCAGGACTAGAAAAAGATAATAATATTAATAATAATAATACAATGAAATAAGAAGAAATAAAATGCTTTAATAAAAAAAAATTCTTTTTTAGATAAAGCTTCAGGTCAGTACAAAAAAAATGCAAGAGAAAGTGTAAAAACAGCAATAAAACACAATAATAGAAGTGTATAATCAAACAAAAGTATATAATAAAAGAGTTTTTTTTAATACCATAGGGGAAAAAATTCAAATATTTAGTGCAAGAATTCAACCTACAATTCTGAATGTATTTTGATAGATAAACATGCATGACTTCAGAACTCTATGCATTTGCTCATTCATTAGGCAGATGTTTCTTTATTGTAGTAACTATGGGTAAGGTATGGGTTTGTGCATTACGACTAACCTTCTCCATGGTGGCAATGAAAAGCATAGCTAGGGTGACCAAATGCAGAACGGTCACAAACATCAACAGTAATGCCATTTTGGTGGATCCTGCGGAATAAAAGGTTCTGGTTGAGAAATTGAATCTCACTGAAAAACTAAGGAATCATTTGGGATTTAATCAGTGTGTCTGAAAAGCTTCTGATGTGGCCATCATTAAAGAGCTCGGTGTAAACAGCAGTAGTTTGTGTCTGATCTCCAGATTTCAATGAAACTAAACAGAATGAAACAGATCTCCTGTTTCTATATGCATCCCATTCATACTACCGTTCATTTGGTAAGTTAAATCTTTAGGGCTGCATTTATTTGATCAAAAATACAGTAAAAACAGACAATATTATTACAATTTCAAATAACAGTTTTCTATGTGAATATATTTTCAAATGTAATTTATTCCTGTGATGCAAAGCTGAATTTTAAGCATCATTACTCCAGTCTTCAGTGTCACATGACCCTTCAGAAAACATAATAATATGCCGATTTGCTACTTAATAAACATTTCTTATTACTATCATCAATGTTGAAAACAATTGTGCTGCTTTCTGTTCTTGTGGAAACTGTACTACATTTAGTTTTTTTAGGATTCTCGAAAGGAACAGCATTTATTTGAAATAGATATCTTTTGGAACATTTTAAGCATCTTTACTGTCACTTAACGCATCCTTGTTGAATAAAATTATTAATCCAATTATGATTCCAAACTTTTGAACGGTAATGTATATGATGCCATGTTAATCAAAATGATGCCATTTGCTGATGGCGACTTCTCCAGGGAAAAATGTAGGACCTGTGTGTGAACCTTGATTCAAGCGCTGTAGTAATACTTCACTGGCATCATACCTATAAATGATAAATTAGTTTTCACCTCACTGCCAGTCGCTTTTCCAGCGTCACTTTTCTGAGACGCACAACGTGGCTATACCACAAACCTTCCATGACTTTTCCATCCAAAAGATGAACAGAGACTTCTGGTTGAACAAACAAAACGTCCATTCATAAATATGGACTGTGTGACGGATCTGGATAGGGAAGGAAGATTGGGAATGACACAAGCAGATCCCAAGATTGCACACCTCCCTCTGTCACGACAGAGCAGTGAAAATAACTCACGGTGCATGCGAGGATCTCTTTCCAAACCAGAGACCAAGAGGCCCTTTGTGGTGGCCTTAAGATTACGTATTTAGTCAACATTCCCCAACTCTGGTTTTCATTAAATCGACCCCCACCTCTCCATGTTTACATGCAGGAGCTGCTCCTTATGCGTTCCTGGCACCGACTCGGATAGTTATTTCTCTTTAGTGCCATTCAAGACTTTACCAAGATGCTCTTTACACTGTAAACACAGATGAGCTGTAGTTACTGCTCCTAAAAGTACGCAGATCTTACAGCAATGTAGAACGGACTATCACATGAAATTAATTAAGACATTTTGGACAGTTCTGAGAGATCCATAATCTTCTAGTCTGTTTGGCTGCAGCTTATTTGTACTTCTACTGTAAAGTTTGTACTGTACAAAACCAACAAACAAGAATATCTCAGAGAGCATAGTTTGATTCTTAATAATAATAATAAACGTTCTTCATTCTTAGGTTCAGCGCTTTTTGCATATTAACTATTTTATAGTTTCTTTTTTTAAAGGTTCTTGATGTGATTTCTGTATGAGTTCTGTATGAGGATGTTGTTATAGTCTCATGCATTAATAATGTATAAGTGAAGACCTTGGGTTCTTTATGCACCAGTACATCCGTACATTAGCTTTCTGTAGAACTATGGCACTTTAAAGGTTTTTCAATGGCACATAAACTATTACTTTAGAAATGCTTTCTGTTGTTGAAGAAGTAAAAATCAAGCTTACCTTGTGTAGTCGTATCAACAGATCTTCTTTGGTCTGAAGTGCTGTGTTGTTCCTCCGTGTCTTCAGCTGGTCTCCTCTCATCTCCTCCACACACACACACACACACACACACACACACCCACACACACACACACACA